GCCCTCGGAGGGGAGACGTTGGGAAGGACCGGGACCGCCTACCTTAGGGGTTTTTGAGGGGATGCCGGGGTCGCGTCCCCTAAGGCGGCCATGAGAGGGGACGAGGCCGGTTGATAGCGGGCTGGGAAGGGTACTCCGGCAAATGGGCTCGGTTCCAGTGAGCTCCCTGGCCCAGAGGCTTTCTTTCCGCTGTGGAAGTTGGAGGAGGGCCGGGGGGAGAACGCAGGTGGGAGCTTGAGGTCTGCCCTGCCCTCAGCTCTGAGTAATCCCCTGGGCTTCCCTAACCAGCCATCGTTTTTCTTCAGGTGAGATGCAGGCTGACAGGCCATGAGATGCCATGCCGGCTGTCAGAGCTGCAGGCTTATACCAATGGCAAGAAGTATCAGCGGCTGATAAAGACAGCCAGAGAGTTTGACTATGGCAAGTTTGAGCCCCATATAGTGCCCAGCACGAAGAATCTGTACGTATTCTTCCTTTTGTGTGTTATGCTTTACACTTTGTTCCATCTCAGTCATAAAGTGGTCAAGCTTTACAAAGTTCTTGAGCATTTATGGGTTTTGGGGACTGGGAAAGTCTTTAAAGTATTTATCAACTTTGAGCATAGTGCTTATAAGTGAAAAATTATTAAGTCATAGCATAATTAAACTCTGTTGCTCTCTCTCAGACACCAGCTGTTTTGCAAGCTTACTCTCAGACACATCAACAAGTTTCCAGAGCATGTGCTGCGTCATGTCCAAGGGAAGCGCTATCAGAAGGCCCTAAAAACATGTAAGTAGCTTTTCTGAAGATCTAACCAGGCAACTTTTTCCCCCTGAGCTGTTGAGGTTCAAGTAGATCCACATGAAGGGAAGGAATCAATTTTCTTTAGACTGACAGCAATGTATTGCTGTTGCTGTGCGTGCTCCTCAGCTGGGAAAGATCTCAGTGGTAGGGAGCGATCAGCCTCTAGCAAATACCCTGGAACAGCCCTGCGTGAGAGGAGCGGTGCTGAAGCTTCCCCAGAGAGGAACTCACGCACTCAGCACAGTCTCTGTGTTAACATTTTTCCCATCTTTCATGGTCTGTAGTATCGCTATAGATAACACGAATGTATATTAGAGTTGGAGCTCAACATACTTTTGACTTGCATTTGATAATAAGCTAGAGCTGGAAATGAAAAGGACTGGGGTGACTAGGTGGCCTTGCTAAGTGCCACCCGGTGCACTGTTAGATGAGGAGTGCCAGAAGGAAGGAGTGGAGTACATCCCTGCCTGCTTGCGACAGAAGAAGCAGCGGATGCGGCGCCCTGATGATGAAATGAACGGGAGCAAGCAGCCTTACAGAAAAGAGGAATTTTGGGAGCCAAAGTCCAGTGATGAGGACGGAGAGGAAACGGATGACAGTATGAGTGACTTGTACCCACGTGAGTAAAAACATTGATATGTCCTAAAGGGAGTTGGTCAGCTAATTTTCTCTTGGCTTCTTTTTACTGCTCCCTGCTGCTGGTGTGCTGTAGGTGTGACTTCATCCAGCTTGGAGATCTGGGGGTTGGCTTTTGGAAAAGCTTCACACTGCCAACTAAGAAATATCAGTTATTGCTAGGTAATAACCGGAGGTGGATCTCAGAAAGTGTGAGTGATCTATACAAGATCCACTGGGATTTGCTGCTTTAGGTATTTCCCCTTCCCCCGTTTCTCAGCCATTTCTTCTTGTTGGTCAAGCCACTCTGCTGACTGCATCTGCAGGTGCTCCCTGCAGCAGAGAGCAGTGGTGCAACCCCATGGCACCACCTGTGCTGAGCAGTTCCCAGAGCAGGGCTACTGACAGCAACAGGCACATTTCTGATAAAACACGAGTGTCATTATTTGCCAAGTGTTTCAGTAGTGACATGGACTGGCAGCAGCTTGGCAAATCACCTTTAAGACACCCTCAAAGTAAAGTTATGGGGAGGAAGAACCTGTGCACAGGTAACTGATTCTGAGCAAAATCTTTGTATTTTAGCTGCACTCTTCTCAGAAAAAAGCCCAGCAGGTCCGCAAACCACAAAGGGCAGCGATGACTTTGCCACAGACAGCGAGGATGACAGGACCAAACAGAACGGTGACATGAATGGAGAGGACAGTGGGAGAATGGATGTCAGCAGAGAGTCTGGCAACAAAAGGGGAAAGGTGCGAGTCGTGCGGCTGTGTGCAGCCACAGGGGAGCCTGGGACCAGGATCCCCTCCCGTAGGTGTTTGATCTATTCCTGTCTGAGCACCACCAGAAGGTGCAAAGCTGTTTCGGAGAACAGACTTTCCCCATGTGCCAGCCACTGCCTCGCAGCTCGAGGTGTGAATCACCACCAGTGACTGTTTATCCTGCCCATATAAATAGCTCATCTCTGGGATCCTGCTACACACTGTCTTCACAGGGAGACTGAAATGTGTCCTGTGGGTTCTGTAATCTTCCTCCCAATATGCTCATAAACACTTGTTAAACCCTTCTGAACTCACAGGGTTCTTCTAGACCCTTTTTCGGCCTCTTTTGAGGAGCTGGCCAGGTGCTGCGTTATAGGACATACCTTAGCCCTTCTCCATTTGGAAAGCAGGCAGATGTTCTGTACATAAAGATGGATAAACCTTTAATGCTCTCAGCCTCCTGAAGAAGGGGCTGGATCTTTTATAACCATATCAAACTGACCAGGGCTGTGCTTTTCTGTCTCAGTTGGTAGAAGAGACCACACTCAGTTTCTCTTTGAGCAATCTCAGGCAGGGCTGGATTTGGGTTTAGGGAATAAGCTAATAAACTTTTTTTTCTTCTACAGAAACAGTCAGGACCTTTGAAGAAGAAATTCAAGAGTCATCATCAAAAACCCAAGAATTTCAAGAAAGCAACCAATGGCAAATAAATTTTATAAATATTTTGCCTGGAGCCTGTTGTGTAACAAATCCAGAGGGCACACAAGGCTGGCTGAAGTGCTTTGCTCCATTAAGTTACAGCTGGGGAGGGGAACAACAGGGGGGAATTCTTGT